GGCGGCCCCTGGGAAACCGGGCACCGCCCCGAGGTCGCTGAGCCGGCGCCCTGTCGCCGCAGTGCCGCGGGGGAAGGCGACGGCCTTGGGGCCCCACACGAGCCTCGGCCAGGTCGGCCCTGCGGGCGGGAGCGCGACCGCGCCAGGAAGCGGGCCCTCCCAGCCGGCCCCGGGGGCCGAGAAGCAAACCGAGGCGCGCCCACCGCTTCCTGGAGAGCCGCCTCACCGCCCGCGGCCGGGCGCAGCCACGGGGGGCTCGCCCTCGCGCCCGGCTCCTCCGCCGCCCGCCCGACGCCGCTCGCGGCTCCCCAGACGGAGGCCTGGAGGCCCTGGAGCACCGTCCGCACCTCCCGGCCTGCATTTCCTTGCCTGTTTCCCGAGCCTTCGAATGCGGGGCAGCCGTGTGAACGCGCATCTTGGGGAAAAACTGATTCCAGCCCCTCCTAGTGAGCACACGCCGGGCACTCCCTTTTCCATGTGGTCTGGGGTTTCCGTTCCTCGGAAAGACAGTCAGAAATCAATACCTGGGAGAACAGGACTCCGCTTCTTTCCATTCAGAAAATCCTTTGGAGGAACTCCTTCCTTTACCCCCACCCCCTACACACACACAAACTCCTTAAAGGCTGAAAAGGGAGCCGAGTGTGGAATTCGGGGAAGTGATGACACACACAACAATGCTGTTACACCTGGCTGCTGCAGGCCCGCAGCGGAAATGCCTGTAAGGAGGAGGGGGAGAGAAAGAGACAGCCAGAGCGCCAGCCTGGGTGGTCAGAAAAAAAGAGAGGAGAGAGCACCGCCCCCCCCCGTTAGGGTGGGGCCAACCCCAGCTGTTTTTCCCCCTGCCCAGGCCCTGGGGGAGGATGGGCACTGGGGTCCATCTGCAGCAGCCCCAAACCTGACTCCCCCACTCCCACCCACAGTCTGGGCACGGACCGGGGTGAGGAAGAAGAAGAACACCTGCCCTCCTGCTAGGAAGCGGCCACAGACGTTTTAAACAAGTGCTGCTTGCTCCCGTGTCTGTTGGGGGCAGTGGGAGAAAGCAACCAAGCCACTTTAAGGTATGGTCATGCGCCGCTTAACGACGGGGACACGTTCTGAGAGCTTCGACGTTAGCCAATTTCGTCGTCCTGCGAACAACAGAGCCTGTACCTATCCAAACCTAGATGGCATAGCGTACTACACACCTAGGCTCTATGGCACTAATTTTAAGGGATCGCTGTGGTATATGCGGTCTGTCGTTGACCGAAACGTCATTATGCGGGGCACGACTGTATTTTCAATGGTGGTGGAGGAGGGTATTTACTGAGGTGAGTTTAGCAGAGCCATGCTTCCTCTTACTGTGGTGGTCAGACGAGGCTGCCCTCTTGACCTCTCTGGAGTCATCTTCAAGATGCTGAATTCCAAAGAGCCCCATCACTCTGTCCTCCTCTCCTTTCATCTCAGAATGCGGATCAGAGGCCTGAGTGGGAAGCAGGCAGCACATGCAGGTGGCCTGTGGAGCCATAGGCCACTAAAGGCTCTTCAGGCTTCCTCAGACTCTGAGCCTGGGAGGAAGAGGTAGTGACAGGCCTTGGGCCAGCCGCTCCAGACATGCCAATCACTAACACACACCTGCATGCCATCTAGTCAGTCCACCTTCCTCCACAAAGCATCCCAGCCCCCTCAGCGCCAAGGAGTTTGGGAGATGAGGACTCAAAACCCCAGCCATCTCTTTCATGCTATGATTGCAGACTTTTTGTTGAGACTAAGTTAACTATGAAAAGGCACACCTGACTTTCTGCCAGCGCTGATTTCCCCTGAGACCATCTCCGTGCATGCAGAGGTAACTGGGTCCTGATCAGACTTTTGCTGAAGGTAGGTGAGAACTTACCCCTGGAGAAAGATGAGAACAAATGTCTCCTCAGGAAAGAGATTTGAACAAGAGCCTCCCTCACAGTCTGTTGTTTTTCTTGCTAGCCTGTGATAGAGTATATATACACTCTGGCAGCGAGGGAGGCAGGAAGAATTGAAAATGAAAGAAAAGGAAGGGGGAAAAGAGGGAAGGGAAGAAAAGCAGGAAAAAAGGAGAGAGGAAGAGAGAGAAAAGAGAGAGGGGGAAAAAGAAAGATGCAATATCCATGAACCGCATTTACTCTGATACGTGATACACATATATCATTACATATCTGTAAGTACAAATGTTTTACCCCATAAATACCACACCTAACACAAGTGCAGACCTGTGTTTTGCACCAGCTCACGTGCACCCGGGCAGCTGGTATGTCACGTGTCTCAAGGACTGACCCTCCCCACGACTTCTGTGTGTCTCACATAGAAGTGGTTCACATACATATACAGTCGCGCAAAGCCCCACGGCAACATTCGCGCCTGCGTCGAAGCAGGAGCAGACCCGGGTCTACTTGATGGTGTTAAAGCACACATCCAGCCCGTGGGATTACGACGCGGATTCTGAGGAGGGGTCTGGTCCCTAGGTCCAGGGGCAGCGCACGGAAGGGCGGAGGGGCTACACGCGGCGCCCCGGGGCGCCTCTTCCGAGCGATCCTCTCCCCAGCTCCATCCCGGCCCAGTCACTCTGAGAGCGCGAGGGACGGCCAGGCCAAGGTTTCTTCATTCAGTGACACGCGTTTCTGGGCTGATTTTCCCGAAGCCACCGCGCAGCTCTCTCCACCCCACCCCCGTCCGGCCCACTCACCGTGCTGCCCCTCCCCCAGCCCCGAGCTAGAAGTTTTGCCCCAAGACAGCAGCAAAGGGCAGAGCGAAGGCGCCGTTTTCTTTCACCTGAAGCTGCGAGGAGGCTTGGCGCGCCTCTCCTAGCTAGGGGCCGAGCTCCCTGGACACGGGTCGAGTGTGGACGGGCCCGCCGGGCCCTCGGCATGTCCTGGCCCAGTCCGCAGAGCGAGCACCCGCAGATTGCAAGGGTTTATGAGAGCGCGAGCCGAGCCGTCCGCCGTGCCCCCTAAGCTCGCTGGGAGGGGCAGGCCGGTCCCGGCTGTGCGGGGCGTTTACAAAAAGTGACTTGGAGATGAACTCGCCCGTGCGCGACTGGCCGCCCCGCTATAGGGGCGAAGACGCCTGACGCAAGCGGAACTTGGCGGAGCCCATACGAATCAGAACAGAGCGAGACTCTTGGCGCACTAGGGACTCCAGGAGGCAGCTCGGCCAGAGACGCGGGTCGTGCCTCGGGAAACCGGAGGGTGGGGGGAGGGGAAGAGCGCAGAAAAGAAAACCCACCGAGGCGGGGACTGGCCTGCGCGGGGAGGGGCGGCGGGGCCGGAGCCCCTCTCTGTTGGGCGGACTCCCCATGGCCAGAGGCTGAGCTGCACTCCCGCCGGCCGCTCCCTAGGGGAAGGGAAAGAAGAGGGGAGAAGAGAGAGAGGCCACCAGCGAGCGAGCGAGCGCGGGCCGCATCCGCACTCGGCAGAAGTTTGAGACTCGGCCGTGAGCGGACTTGTGCGCCCGGACTCTGCCGCGCCAGCGCCGGGGGAAAAGAGCAGGGCTGCCTGGCCGCAGCGCGCCGGCTTTGTCATGATGGCCAGCTACCCCGAGCCCGAGGACGCGGCGGGGGCCCTGCTGGCCCCGGAGCCCGGCCGCGCGGCCAAGGAGCCCGAGGCGCCGCCGCCGCCGAGCCCGGGCAAGGGCGGCGGCGGCGCCGGGACAGCCCCGGAGAAGCCGGACACGGCGCAGAAGCCCCCGTACTCGTACGTGGCGCTCATCGCCATGGCGATCCGCGAGAGCGCCGAGAAGAGGCTCACGCTGTCCGGCATCTACCAGTACATTATCGCCAAGTTCCCGTTCTACGAGAAGAACAAGAAGGGCTGGCAGAATAGCATCCGCCACAACCTCAGCCTCAACGAGTGCTTCATCAAGGTGCCGCGGGAGGGCGGCGGCGAGCGCAAGGGCAACTACTGGACGCTGGACCCGGCCTGCGAGGACATGTTCGAGAAGGGCAACTACCGGCGCCGCCGCCGCATGAAGCGGCCCTTCCGGCCGCCGCCCGCGCACTTCCAGCCCGGCAAGGGGCTCTTTGGGGCCGGAGGCGCCGCGGGCGGCTGCGGTGTGGCGGGCGCGGGGGCCGACGGCTACGGCTACCTGGCGCCCCCCAAGTACCTGCAGTCCGGCTTCCTCAACAACTCGTGGCCGCTACCGC